TTAATTATGATCAAAATTTAATAAGAACATTTTTATGTTTGCAATGTTTGCATTACGAATGTAGTGTTTACATAAAGACCATCGAAAGGTGATTTCTTCAAGTTTCTGCTTTTTTCGTTGTTTTGAGTTTATTTCCTTTTGAATAGCTTATCAGAATTAAATAAAATTGGTATAATTTAGTTTGTTATTTAATTATCCATCAAATTTACTTAGTTACTTTTTTTTAATGAATAAAGGGTTTTGAAGTTATTTTAAAAATCATCAAAAAAACGTGATTTTTTCAAATTTTTTTAGCTATAACTTTTTAACAAAATGTTTCCGGAACGTTTTTTTGTTCCAAATTCAATTTCCTATAAGACTCTGAAGTTTTATTGACCTGACCTCGAACACCCTGTATATAAATATCTCACAGAATTCATAAATAAAAGAATCGCAAATAAAACCATATTGGTAACTATATAATAATCGTTCTGACTGTCATCTGCGATTTCGGACAAAAAGTGACGCATAAACTATAGTAAGTAAGATACCAATTGTGAAACATGTGTCTCGTAATCATTGAAGCGAATAATAATTTGAAAATATGTTACCCTTTCACTCTCTCTTTCTCTCTTTCCTCCTTTCTCTTTCGGTCTCTCTGTCGCCATTATTATCACAAAGCGACCCAACGGCTTCGGCGCATTAGTGTCGCACGGGCATGTAACCGCAAAAGCAACGAACAGACCCAACCACCATTATAAATGCATTAACCCTCCCCTTAGTTTCGCCCTCTTCTTCTTACCGACGTGCCATTTTTTTGCCTCCGACTGTTCCAGCTGGACGTTTCTGATATTCGTCTTTGGCGAATCGCGTTTATCGCTCTTCAACTCGCTAATCGTCCTACTTTCCTCGTTGCCAGCTTCTCAGAGATTCCAGTAAATAATCGAACGATGGTTGGATTTAATTTTTAAAACATATACTAAGAATGAAAATGAGAAAAGTAAAAATAACGCTAAATATTATACAGAGTTATTTTCTTTTATACTTGGAACACTTTATGTGACATTAATGAAAAACAATACTTGCTACTAATCAGTCCTTTTCGTTTTTTAATTATTAAATATTAAAATGTAATCGTGCGTATATAAAAGAGAAGACACACGGAAAGTATCAATAAAAATAATAATAAATTGTTTGAATCATCGCAAGAGCAATTTTCGAGTCGATTGGTGTTTCGACGTGTTGCACATCTTTTGAAGGGTGTCATGCAAGTCACCTCAAGATTTCCAAGCAACATGTCACTTTGACACCCGACGATGACGACCGAGGGAAGGCATTACTCGGGACGAGGCGATCGATTCTCAGGAGTTTGTCGCCGGAAGGAAAGACGGGAACTTTTTCCACCACGATCCGGAGAGCTGCACCATCATTAGGATAGAAGTACGATGGAAGCAATCGTTACACTTTCTTTGCCACATACTCTCTCTCTCTCTCTCTCTCTCTCTCTCTCTCTCTCTCTCTCTCTCTCTCTTTCTCTATTTCCAACCCTCTCCTCATCCTTTTTTCGTTTTAGTCGAGCGAGATCAAGCAGCACCCTCGAGCACCTCACGAGCGATAAATCAATGATTCTTCTTCACTCTCCTCTTTTCTTCCCCGTCTATTCCCTGAGAGTCCCCCTGGTTACTTCCGGCCCCCTAGCTTCTGGCAGATAACCATAAAAAGCCAACGGGCAATTAAGGGTGTTTTAGAGTGGCTGCACTCGAAAATCACCGGACAACCCCAGCCGAAAGTGGGGGAATTAAAAAACATTACTCATCATATAATCGCACGAGCGGTTCTCGGTGCTGTCTGTATCGTTGCACACATTCTCTTTCTCTCTTTTTCCCTCTCTCTCTCTCTCTCTCCCTCTCTTTCTCTCTGAATCTTGCGCTTGGACACGCTCGTCCTTCTTACACCTCCGACGTGCCGGCAGAAAAATGAGAAATGATCGTGGCTCGATTCAGAGAGGTGCCTGTTTAAAATTCATGAACGATTTTACTGCAACCTCCCCTATCGCAACCCGTCACAAAAGAGCGAACAGAACTATATCGAGGGAGAGAAGAAAGAGGGAAAGAGAGAGAGAGAGAGAGAAAGATCGTGTGGCCCATATTCGCATCTATACATCAGTACGAACTCGCGAGAGAAAGAGGGATAGAGAGGGACAGGGGGTAGGCTCGCGACCCCACGAAATATATTAATTGTCGAATTTTCCGTGCGAGTTGCATATCCGTTAGAGCCGCTTTGTCCTTTGCCAGGCGCGGATCTCTTGATTATTAATTACTATGACCACCAAGTGCACCTCGCTCTCTACTCCTCCCTTCCCCCGTCATGGCTATTACCCTGTAACATTCGCGACCGCGTTTCGAAGGTACGGCCTTTTTCATTTTTTTATTGCGGCCGCAGTTTTAACAAAAAAATGTGTGAAACAAATGTATACGCCGGCGGCGTCCGTTAATTATCGCCCGAATTTTGTTAGCGCGAATCGTCGAATTTTTATCGAGGCACGGCTGGGAGACGGTTTGATTTATTATCACGAATAAAAGCGAGGATCTCATCATGGGCGATAAAGTCGACAAAGACATTTGATTCAGAAATATTTTAATGTAAATAAAATTCTAATAATTAACGCGATTAATTATCTTTATGAAAAAAATGCAAATTATTTTAATCAAGTTTCTCAAGAATTATCGCAATACCATGTCATCTTTCTCTTCAAACAAATTAGTAATTTTCATATCGACAGCTTTTTCGCATCTTCATTTCAAATCGAGACATTTAGATACATCGTTTCATTCATCAAGAGTCACGTTGTCGCAATAACGCATTTGTATCATAATTACGGTTGAATTAGTCGAGCTAAGGGAAACGACAAGGGGAGCATACACATATTTTTTTTTCGTATAGTGACCCTAGAACGAGAAGAGGGGGTGAGGGGGTGGCAAAAACTACACTTGCACTTATCGAGCAAGGATGTCGGATGTAATTCACGCCTCACTGCCACGGAAGGGTTGTAATTTTCTTGATATTATTCATGAACGTTATGGCAGATTGGCTCATGTAATATAATAGCCCTTCTCACAGCCGTTTTCTCTTTGCGTACATTTTTCTCTGTCTAATCCACCGTATTTTGTATTAAGCCGCTCGATGCGGCACTTTAATATATTTCTCTCTTATAAAGGGCGAGTTTTGTTCCCCTAATCGCGTGAGCACGCGCTCTCATATCGTGTTTATCGAAAAAAGTTTATAACGATTTTGATTTTGTACGAAGGTTACACAAGAGTTTGATAATATATATTCATGCAGTCTGGAACTTTGATATTTTTCTTCCAATTTTTACGTTTTTCTTCCTCGCCTCTTGTTGATAAATTTTAAACAACATCGAAAAAAACTAAAAAAAAATGCATTTTATCTAGATTTTATTATGACAATTAAAAGTTCATTATGAAAGCGTTATAAAAACACATTATTATTCTCAAATATTTTTAAAACATAATAAACTCTCGTATCTCCATTTAAAAAAATGTACGAAGTTTTTTTATCACTAATTGGAAATATGAATAAAGTGTAATCTTTCCAAACATAGTTTTTTCGCAATTATAATATTTTCAGCAATTCTTGTTTATTTTAATTTTACCCAAATTTTTCAAAAGTTCTTTTTTTAATTTAATGTTTTATAAATTAATACTTGTAGAATATTTTCACACAATCAATAATTTCACAATCGCTTGTGCATTATTTTTATATGCACACTTGATATCTCTCTCTTTCCATCCCATATTTTCTACCGCGCATACATTACGTTCTTCTTTGCAGCTGCTTGCGTTTCATGCACGCCATTCAAAGATTCCGTTAAGCACAATCTTTTTTCACTGCACACAGTATTAGGCGATCGATTGTAACTCGCGCCTCGATTTTGTGGAAAGTATCGTGATTTTCGCGGTATAATTCGCAGCATTACGAGCAATAATGGTTTAGTTAATTCCGCTTCGGGAATTTTGCCTCGTGTCTCCCTTCGTGTTCCATCGCGTTTCGTATCAACCCCCGGCCTGTTGATATATCTCTGTCTCGGGCGCGTCTAAGGGCGCTTTTACAGGTTCGCAGGTGCGGCACAAATATATGTATCTATGTATGTATGTATTAATGTGTCTGTGTGTGCGTGCGTGCCATGATATGCGATGATTAGGCACTGAAACTCCACGGGCTATTTGTTAGTATAATAAGCTCCCGGTAGTGTGGCCAACGTAACCACTTGGCGGCACGCCATCCCGTTTTAGCGTAATTGTCCCAGATCGAGATTTACATATGTGGGAGGTGGAGGACGAAGGGGGCGGCGGGTGTGCGCCTGGGTCCGGGGAGAAATTACAGAAAGCCCGTGATTGCTTTAGGTAGTGGCCTCGAAAGCCCAGTCGAGCCTTATATGCGGCGATACTTCGCGCGCTGTACGAACGAATACTTGGAACGGATCTTATCGTTGACCGTTAGAATCTGGAAAAGTACTGTGGAACTACGCTATGCTCGCACGTTTTTCCGGCGATCAACCCCCCGCCCTCCCCCTATCATAATATCGAGACTCGCACGAGTCTGATGCCGGGTTTGACATTGGTCAGACCGAACCTTAGATATATTTTGCCGATATTATATGTTATGAGAATAACAATCGCTTGAGGCGATGTATAAATATTTTGAATAAACAGAATGCAACCGGTCATTATCGAAAGATGTGTAGTTCCGATTAATATGAAATATTATAACAAAATAAGTTTATCAAGCAATCTACCTTTTTAATGGCACACGTATTTTTTATGACACACACACACACACACACACACACACACACACACACACATATTATAACATCCCTATTTTAAAGAATTCTCCCGATATGAACCTTACTCAGGAACCTTAGATCCCGTGCGAACAAATCGTAAAAGCTCTCATGCCGATTGTTGTTATTCACTCATTTGCTTCCTTTATACTTTCAGAACGAAATGGAAGCGACAAACGATCGTGGGCTTCGAGATCATGGCTGAGAACAATTTCGCTGTCGCCGCCTTTCAGCAGTTGTACGGCAGCGGCGCCGCGACCATCCCCGCGCATCCCGCAGCAGGACGTTACTGGCAGTACGCTCCTAGCGCGCACACATTGCCCGCGAATGGATTCTTCTATCAGCAAGCGTCGGCCGCAGCGACTCTACAAAAACCGCTCCCCTATCGTCTGTACCCGCCCACGATGATTCTGGCCGGACCGAGCAATCCCCTCGGTTCGTTGACGGCGAGCTCCAGCCTGTCGTCCCTCAGCAACTATTACAGGGACAGCCCGGAAATAGTTGACGGCCGGGAGTCGACGAGAAAGAGAGATAGGAGCAAAAGCCCGGAGTCAAGGGACCGATCGCCGACTAGGAAACAGACGAGACTGTATCCGCTGTCGATGATGCAGGCAGGTCCCAGCAATCCTCTCGGCACCCTGACGGCGACGTCAAATCTCCCCAACATGAACAACTATTACAGGGGCAGCCCAGAAGAGCTGGTGGAGGGCAGAGAGAACGTGGACAGGTCGAGAAAGCAAGAGAGGAGTAAGAGCCCGGACTCTAGGGACAGATCACCCCTAAGAAAGGACACCAGAGCTTATCCCCCCGCTATGATTCAAGCGGGTCCAAGCAACCCGCTCGGCTCCCTCGCGGCCAGCTCGAATTTATCGAATTTGAACAACTATTACCGGGATAGCCCAGAGATAGTAGATGGGAGGGAAGGTATAAACCGGACGCGACAGCGGGACAGAAGCCAGAGCCAGGACAGATCGCCCATCCAGAGGGAGGACAGTCCTCGGAGCGTGAGGGCCGACAGCGATGACGAGAGCATACACGATATCTAGGACATGGAGATCCCTAATATCGCCGATAGTACATCAGGAATGCTGCACGATGGCGAGGGAAAGGAGGACGAGTGTATCTTGCAAAATAATTAAGAAATGAAGCTACACAATTTCTTTGCAAAGGACTCTGAAAGAATATCTTTGGAGAGATGGTTGAGAGGAGTCGAGAAGAATATCGTACCAGGATTGTTGAGGGAAGTATAATCAAAAATCGGGTGACTCGAGCAGCTAGTGGAATCTAAAGAAGAGTTTGAAAGAAATGATTGATGCCGTGATGATAACTCATCATGGGAAGTTGACGCAAACAATTAAAGTTAATTTCGTTCAGCGAACGAGATAACGAGATCGCTCAAACTTCAGCAGCTAACAGTTCGTAAATAGAAGTCGACGTGGCAGATGTATAATCAAATCGATTTTCTGATCCTGGAAAATCAATTGATAACGCAAGCGTTGAAGGCTCGAGCTGTATATATATATATATATATATATACCCTTGAGAATTTTTGCACTTAACCGTCGAAATCGCGCAGCTACCATGAATTATAATCGAATGCAGCCAACGTAACGAGACTGTTTAGTGAAAGGCTATCGAGATATGTATCAAGCTTCGAAGGAGAAGAGAAACTATGGATAAAAATTATTTGATATCATTGTCGCAGTCATTTCGAAATTTAAAGGTAACATCTCCGAAGAAGATCTCTGGATTCGCAGAGATTCTGCCAAGCCAAGTCGACGAAATCGGATGAAAATGAAACGCACGACGGCCGATTATTTCGTGAGGTAGAACAGGAAGTGACATGGCACGGGACGTCCGGGATTTTGTAGATAATGAGAGCGAACAGGAAATATCGTGCGGTTAACCGAACTTCGTGATTTGAGCGTTCAGTGAATGGCGGGTTTTACTGTGAAACAGTACGTATATTTAACGTCGATGTGCGCGATCAATGTGTAGAACGAACGAAAGTAAAAATCCCGAAACATTGTTCTTTGGACTAATGAGGATTCATTATGCTCATTCATTCATTATATATTTGTTCATTATTTTATTCCTCCGTATGGAATATACGATTGTCGGAGGGGGAATTTAAAATGTATTTATTTTCCAATATTTTTTAAAGTGAAATCATTTATGTTTACGCGGTGTTTTATATTTCGATCACACAATTACCGTTGATTATACTGTGATAATTATTATTTAATTCAGAGAGAGAGATTGATTAATTTTATTGCAAATTGTTCTCTTTAAAACATTCGTAATTAGATTATGTATCCCCGTCTCTCACAATAATTATACGCGCATGTTTCAGACATCAATCTCCATTATTGAAAGTTTCCTTGCAAAATGTTATTAAGGCACAGAGTTTAGGATACAAGCCAATAATATATACCATCAAATTCATTATCAAATCATTATTTCGCCGTGCAAAAAATCCATCTAACTCTCTGATAATATTTTATAATTTTAAATTAAATTCTAAATTCTCTCGCATTTCTGACAATGACAGAATAAAGGAACTCATCCACCTGCGATGAAACCGATCGATATTCACAATCATTAGGCGAAATTCGGCTTTTCAAATTTACCTCAAATATACTACTCGATCCAACCAATCGGTGCCGTTATCACGGCGTAGAATTAAATACCTGGCTTAGAGAATCCAGGTCGGGGTTTCGTTGCAACGGGAAGGGGAGAGGGGGTTTCGTGCGTCGAAGAACGGTTATGTGGTCGCGCCAGGAAACGGGCCAATTGCGAACGAACGCGAATCTACAATTAATATGACATTAGAGGGGACCTGGCCGCGGGGGAAGAAATCTAAAATGACACGAAATTACACGCGGTCGCCGCGAACAACAGAAAAAGAACAAGAGGGGACAAGGAGGGGGCGGCATCGAATGCGCGAGGGAGCGATAGGGGGGATAGGGAGAGGGAGAAGAGAGGGGGAAAGGAGAGGGAGGGCGTCTCAACTATTCAAATAATCGGTGTTCTCGTGTGTCGGCGAAGCGAAACCGGCATTTTGCCCACCGACGTTCTTCCTCTTCGGAACGAGCCGGGGGGCATGGGGGCAT